ATGTGATTATATATATATATATATATATATATATATTATTTTCAAGCGCGATGTTTTTTATTCCGGCTCTGCTAGGATTTGTGATTCGATGCGCGCCGGTAAGTCATCCTCCATGGCTCGTTCTTTGCCGGCGTGCCCGCCGGCTGCTTCCCAAACTTCCCTCCTGCCTTTCACGATTCTCTCGCACTCGGTACCATGACTGCTTTCATTCGACGTCCGGGCCGAAAAGGGGGTAAGCTCACTCTCTTCCTCTTCGACTCCGACAATGTTGATCTTCCATTCTGTTATTCCTTATGATGATATTTTAAAATTGAAAGGTTTGAGACTTGCTTCACGTTGTTGTTCGTGTAATGCGGCGGAGGAGTTTTGAGCATCTTTTCTTTTTGTGTCCTTATTCACAGTTTATTTGGCGGAAGGTTGGCCTTTGGTTTGGCATTATTCTGCATCTGGATAGGAATCTTTTTCTTACCACTCTGGTTTGTAAACCGGATCGGAAGCAGAAACATTTTTTACAAGTTTACCCTTACATTATATGCTGGTTTATATGGATGGCTCGAAACGATATCAAACATGAGGGTAAAGTCATTCATAATACGATGGTTTTTACAAATATAATTACTTATGTTAATATGTTTTGGAGGACGGGTAATGCTAAACAATGCTTCTTTTCGGGCATCACTTATTTTCAATCTTTGGGGTCCAAGGCTATGGTTGGGGGGAGGATACCGCAACTCCCGGTTTTGGTGAGATGGCGGCCACCTCTCACGGGTTGGGTAAAGTTTAACACTGATGGGAGCTGGAAATCTTGCAGTGCAGGTTGTGGGGGCATTGCTAGGAATAATGTCGGGGACTGTATTCTTTTCTTTTCAATTCCCTGTTTCTTTGATACTCCTCTTGAGGCGGAGGCTCGGGCCATCTTGACGGCTGTCATGATAGCTCATTCACTTAGTTGGCAATTTATTATCTTTGAAAGTGACTCTCGCATTTTGGTTGATATTCTTGCTAATAGAGTTGATGCCTCCAGGGATATTCTCTATTACATTAAGAGGTTGTGGGGGCATTGCTAGGAATAATGTCGGGGACTGTATTCTTTTCTTTTCATCTCCTTGTTTCTCTGATACTCCTCTTAAGGCGGAGGCTCACGCCATCTTGACGGCTATCATGATAGCTCATTCACTTAATTGGCAATTTATTATCTTTGAAAGTGACTCTCGTATTTTGGTTGATATTCTTGCTAATGAAACTGATGCCTCCTGGGATAATGCCTCCTGGGATATTCTCTATTACATTAAGAGGATTAAACTATTAACCTCTCATATGTTTATTATTTGAAGGTTCATACATTGTGAGGGAAATAGACCTGCAAATTGGCATTGTTATTTTTGGTAGCACAAGTTACAACCATTGGGTGGGATCCGTCCACCCCTCCCCCCTTCCCCTTTATACACTTTGGTTGTTGGGGACAAGTTAGATGATTCTTATGTCCGTTGTGATGGTTCCTGATAGCATGCCTGTTTGTTGCCCCATGTTTATTTTCTATGTATTTCGGTAGAATGGTTTGGCCACTATTTTGCCAAACAATTTGGATGGGTTATACGGCATTTTCTATGGTATTCAGGTCTCCTATCCTCTACTTTTTGTATTCATACTTCGGTATTGGGATGGTTTGGATTCTTTATGTCTGCTGCTTAGGGGCTGGGGATGTGGATGCCCCTGGGTTGTTCTTTATCGTGAATACCTTTGTGTGGTTCCACTTCCTTGCTTGCGACTATGTGGTGGTTTACTACTCACATTTTGTACTGTTACTACGCCATGTTCGATTTAGCATTTCTTGCTCCTTTAGAAAGAGTTGTTTCTGGACGAGGGCTCCCCTCTTTTTCCTATTCCTTTTGTGGAATTTCTTTCTTGTTATGTTCCTCTGTTAGATCTATTGCGGGAGCTCTCGTACGCTTTCCTCTAGACTACAAAGATAATAATGTGGTCATGGCCACCTCGGTTTACTGCCTTCTATGATGGAAAGGGATGTGGTTTCTCTCTTTTGTTTCTGTATTTTGATCTCTGCAGGATTCTCATGTGGCTTGCTCTACACATGAATTATTTGGGTCTCAACTGGATGTTGATGTCGTCTCATCAAACTCATTGAATTACATCTATATATTGGGTATACTTTTCTTTTGGTATACTGGATCTCATGTATTTTGGGTACACAATACCTTTTATCACTTTTCATTCATTTTTTGGCGTGGAGTTGTAATATGGATAGAGGAACCCTAGGACCCTCCTTTTGTTTTTAGTGGGGATCCTCCTACCCTCACTCACTTTTGTACTTTCTTTTTATATTAACACGTAGGGAGCCACGTGCTGCTCGAAAAGTGTTAAAATGGTCCACCAACTCTTGCTATGGGGTCATTGTAGCCCTTGAGTTTATAAAAATATCAATTTAGACCCCAATATCTTTTAATATGGGTTGAAATAGTCCTAACTGAGAACCATTTTGGCCCTCATTAAAATAGTCCAAGGAGAGAGAGAAAAAGAAAAATAATAATGTAACATTCAGAAGAGAGACATTTATTTAAAATTTTAATATAGATAGAGGAACCCCTAGGACCCTCCTTTTGTTTTTAGATGGGGATCCTCCTACCCTCACTCACTTTTGTACCTTCTTTTTATATTACACATAGGGAGCCACGTGTTGCTCGAAAAGTGTTAAAAAGGTCCACCAACTCTTGCTATGGGGTCATTGTAGCCCTTGAGTTTATAAAAATATCAATTTAGACCCCAAAATCTTTTAATATGGGTTGAAATAGTCCTAACTAAGGACCATTTTGGCCCTCATTAAAATAGTCTAAGGAGAGAGAAAAAGAAAAATAATAATGTAACACTCAAAAGAGAGACATTTATTTAAAATTTTAATATAAACAGTCACAAGACTATTTTGACAATTTATACAAAGACACACACATACTTAGATTTAAAATTTTTAATAAGAAAAGGAAAAATAATAATTTCAAGCCGGCTCATAACCGGATCAATTCAATCCACAAGCCAATTTCAAAAACATGTAGTAAGCTAATGATAGTAGGCTGATAATAATTGGTTCAAAACAAAAATGAAGAAAAAAAGATAAAACTAATGGACCTTCATCATTCTTCATATTCTTCCTATGGTAATTCGACTAGTGTTTTCTAGAACTATTTGTATCATAGTTCAAAAGCAATATTTGATAAACTGAATCTAAAAATGGCAAATTAAAATAAGGAAATAGTCCACATAAGTCTAGCATGTCAAATACACTGAACCTATAACCCTCAAAGAAATATTACAAAAGGCCTAAAAAAGAATAAATAATTCATTATAGTTTAAAGAATACATAAAGCTTGTTTGGGATCAATTCAAATTTTTTTTATGTTTTAAATTATTCTTCTATTTTTTAAAAAATTTTTGTTTAATGTATTTTTATCTGTTATATTTTTTTTCTTTCTAGAAATAAACTAACATATTTTTTAAAACACTCAAGACAACTCTTAGGTGTTGAGCGTTTTGAAAAATATCTTCATCAAACATACAAAATTTATTTTGTTTCAAATCAAAACATAAATAAAATTAAATTAAAATACAAAACAAAAATAAAAGTGATCCAAAACAGCCTCTAAGGAAACAACAAAAACTAATAAAAGAGCTATAATTATACCATCATGCAAAACACAATTATTTGTTCCAATGTATAACATAACACCAATAGTTGAAAATTTTAATACAACTGAATAGATACTCGAGAGAGAGACAATACATTAAATTAAAATTTAAAAAAGGCATTACGTGAAATAGCTGCTGTTAAAATTACATACAGAATTTTCAAATGCGGCGTTGTGGAAAATTCTGGAGGAAGATACCCAGTCAAGTTATTGTTATCAACAAGGCTGCAAAAGTTTGTAAAATTGGTTAAAAAATGTCTAATATGGCTAAACTCAGAACATCAAACACTTTAAAAGAAAACTATTAGGAAAATTTACACTTAATTCAGGTGTATTTACATATCCAATACCAAAACTCTAATTTTTACATTTATACTAACCAAATCTTTCATATCACATGAAAATTATTGTTATTTTAACTTTTAAAAAAGTGAATACACCTTTTCATGCAAAGATAAGGTGGCATGTATGTAAAATTTGGAGTTTAAGTGTTGGATATGAAAAAACATAGGAATTAAGCGCTATGTATGTAAATCTTCCAAACTAGTAATGCACTTACAGGTGAAGGAGACGTGGAAGTCGAGATAATTCTGTTGGAATTTGTCCACTTAATGAGTTATTATTCATGTGGCTGCATAAAGAACAGAATTAACTGATACATTTATTACAATATTTAAAAAGTAAGACATTGAAGTGAATGAAACTACTCACAGGTGCTTTACACTGCTCAGATTAGCAAATGATTTTGGTATTAGTCCTGATATCTGGTTCTCGTCAATTTGCAGCCTATTTAAGTTTACAAGATAGCCAATCTCGTCGGGTAAAGTACCGGAAAGCTCATTACCACTTAATAGCCTGCAGAGGTTTAAACAAAAGTTTAAAATAAAAGAAAGTAATCTTCAATAGGGGCATTTCCATACATACCACCCAATTCCTATGTATTTACATAACTAACACCTAAGCATTTTATACCACCCAGATCTTTTATATTCAATAATACCATTATTTCAAATTTTAAACAGTGAAATACACACTAATTCATGCATAGGCAAGGTGGCATGTATATAAAAATTGACGTTTAGGTGTTATAAATGTAAATACATAGGAATTGAGGGGTCTGTATGTAAATCTTCCTTTTCAATATCAAAACAATGTGCTTAGTATTAATAATTCACATAGCAAATGTCAAATTATGATGATAAAACTCCAGTTGAATACTACAATGTGTAGTGTATATAAATAAAGGGCAACTTTAACATTTACATTCATAGCACTCAAATATTTAATAGCACATAAAAAATGTCACTTTACTAACTTTTTAAAAGTTATATGCGCCTTTATATACAATAGGTTTATAGCATTAAGGTGTTATAAATTTAAATATCAAACCATGGGGGTAAGATATGTAAATCCATAAGAATTGTGAAATACGTGTGTAAATTTCATTATAAATAATTATGCAAAGGCATCAGAAAATAGTTCCATGAAATCCATCAAGAACAGAGTTACAAAATAATTCCCTTTAGAATAAGACAATTGCATGACAACCCTATTCGAGAGATTTGGTTTCATATGGATTTAAAACAATATGCATTGTAGTTCATAATTTGCAGAAAAAAACTCCACGTAGTTTTATGATGATGCCTTCAAACTAGAGTAATTTACAGAAGTCAGAGATCAAATATTGCAATAACAATATCTTAACTCACAGTAGTTTAAGGGATGTAATATTGCCTATCTCCTTTGGAATAGTTCCATTGATCTTGTTCCGCATAACATCCCTTCAGAAAAGGAAGATTCAATCAGAAACAAACGCCTTACAAAAAAAGAATGATCAGTATTAGGGATAAGGAGTTTGAGGGTCAACGAACTAAAAATAAAAATTTTTAGTGTCATTTTCAGGCACTGAAAAGAAAGTAAAATATTCTTTTTCCGGCACCACTCATTTTTTAATCTCCAAATTAAACATATTCAAACTTACAGTATCTGAAGTTGAGAGAAAAGACCAAGATCCGGCACCAAACTTCCTGAAACGTTCAGCCTCAAAAGTTGCCTAACAAGAGAGAGCAATATCGGTGATACATATAGATACTAAAAAGTAATATGCCTAATTGTTTATCTGAATAAAAAAGACTTAGCATATGCAAACTTCAGATTACATAGATATGTAATTCAAAAATCATTAAATATGTTGCACTTCTGCGAAACAATAAATTTAATAAAAAGTGACCCTGTGCTGGCATTGTGCAAGACAACTCACCTTGTGTTGGTTTTGTGTAAGACAACTCAGAGTTGGTTTTTTTAATGCAACTAATATGATATTCAAGCAAAGAAACATAAATGATTTATCTATCACAGGTTATCAATTACATCAACAACTTACATTTTTTTTAAAATGAAATTAAGTGATGTTATGGTCTAAGCCCAATTAATCATAAAAGAAGATAGATATAAAGAAAAATTGCGAGCAAATAAAATCAGAAAGCAATCAAATTAATCATGTACTATGCTACTATTGAATGTTAGAAGAAGAATGTCAAATTTGATACGTCAAGAGATAAGCTGTTCTACTTCCGATGTGAGAAATGAGTAATATCATCCCTAATCAATTCAATTAAGGTGAACAAATATATAAAGGCAGGTAAAATAATATGTTTGGCTAAATTGAAAACTATCAAAGAGGCAATTAATGACATAAAGGATAATTTTATGGTAAGTGAGTTTGCAGGTGTTATTCTTGAAGAACTTGCTAGTTTGACACTAGAAAAGAAAGTAGAGTTTACAACATATGTTCAAATAGGAGCTGCATTTATTATAAAAAACCTTACAAAATGGCCATTAGGAAATTGTAAACTCTACTTAATAAAATCTTTAATGCAAAACAAGTTCATTGCATATGCTTCCAGGCAATTGAAAAAACATACAAGAAATTATCCAACACATGATTTAGAATTAGTTGTTATTATGTTTGTTTTGAAAATTTGGAGGTATTCTCTCTATGGAATATTTACTGAATATAAAAGTTTTAAATATATGAATTTAAGACAGAGAATTGTCAGAATTGATAAAATATTATGATAATCATATACAATATTATCCATAAGAAAGCCAATGTGGTTGTTGAAGTATTAAGTAGAAAATTTAGGAGGTAGGTAATTTATATTTGTGGGTGTTAAGAGAATCAAGTTTGATCCAGAAATTTATGCATGAAGCTCATAATACAGAATATTTAACTCATTCAGCAGGTAAAAAAGAAATTAAGATTTAAAATGAATATTTTGGTTCCCTGGAATGAAGAAAAATAACAGAGTACGCTGCAAATGTGAAACTTATCAGGTAGTCAAAGCAAAATATTAGAAATCCAATGACATATTACAATCAGTGTTAATACCATAGTAAAAGTGAATTTGGCAATAAATTGTCATAGATTTTCCCAAATCAAAGAAATTGCACAAATGCATTTGTGTTATGATTGATAGATTAAGAAATTTAACACGTATCTTACATATTTGTCAAATTGATTTTGTTAGGAAATTTAAAAATTGTTTGTGGAAAAAATGATCAAATTCTATAAAATTCCTAAAATTATTGTATCTGAAAAAGATGAAAATTTTACATTCAAATTTGTAGAGAGGTATTCATACAATTTCAGGCACAAAAGTATACTTCAGTACATATCCACAGATGGATTACCAATCAGAAAGAATCATTCAAGTGTTAGAAGATTAATTAAGGTTATGTGTTCTAAATTTTGGTGGTAGCTAGGAGGAACATATTTCATTGATAGGGTTTGCTTATAACAACAATTATAAATCCAGCAATAAGATGACATTATATGAGGCATTGTATGTCAAGAAATGCATAACTCAACCAATTGGGTTAAAATTGGAGAGAGACAGCTATCGAGGCCATACTTAGTAGAATAAGCTACAGAGAAAATCTAGATTGTAGAAACAGATTAAGGGTCTGTTTGGCGCAGCTGCAGCAGCACTGCCTCAGGAAGCAGCTGTGGGGAAGCAACTGCAGGGAAGCTGGTTGTATGTTTGGTGCAGCTGCGTGAAAAATATTGTGAGTCAGTTGTTTCATGTAAAAATGACCAAACTGTCCCTGTTTGTTAAAACTGTTTTTAATTTTTGATTTATTTGTATAAATATGAGTGTAATATACATAAAATTTATAAAAATATTATTTCTTAATTAATTAAATGAAATAAATTATTTTTAATATTCATTTTTATAGATAATTTCTAAAAAATATTTT